AAACTCATTGTTAAAAATAAAACATAAAGATGAATTTTAAAATTTGTAAAAAACTAGTTCAACAGCAAGAAAGACTTATCAAGGGCAAAAAATTCCAAATAACAAGGGGCAGTGATAGTTGATACATGAATACACTTTACACCTAATTTCATTTCTTTTTGTTGATTCCAGACTTTATGCGTGTTTTAATACAAATGTTAATACATAGTTTCAAGCAAAAAAAAACTTGTTTCTTTATTAAGGGTTACGTAATTTGACCAAACACCAAGTTTTAATCCATTAGTTAGCATAATCGGATACAGTTTTAGTAGAAACTAGCAGGGAGGTAACTAGGTTGGGTGTCACCCAGTATGGTAACTGAGGGTGTCACATGGTGTGGTAACTGAGGGTGTCATATGGTGTGGTAACTGAGGGTGTCACCTAGTGTGGTGACTGAGGGTGTCAAATCATCCCCTACGCATATTTTTATTTCCACTAGATAAAACATTGTAGTAACAGTAATGTTACGACTTTTAATTTGGTGTCACCATTTAAATGGTGTCACCACTTAAATGGTGTCACCACTTAAATGGTGTCAACTCCAACCCCTCCACCCCCCCCCCACCGGTCGACGCTACTGGACAACAATACGTTTTTTTCAGGTGACCAAATTTGTGTGTTGTATTGATATCAGTGTATTTATCATAAGAAAAAACAGCTAAGTGACACGGGCGTCAGTCGTGTTTAATAGGACTTGAAAATATAGCACACAGAAAGTGATGTAGAAAAACATCGACAGGGAATACAGAAAAAAAGATCGTCAAATATGTATAAGGTCACTGATTTTATACTGCTAGTTTAAAACCAAACAATCGTACAAACATAAAGCCAGAGTTGTAAATTAAGTTCACGGATCAGGTCTGGTATTAAGATAAGCAGAGCCGGAAAGAAAAGTCAGGTTTCAACAGTTTCAAGATGTAAAACAAAATGAAAATTAATTTTTGTACTTGGGTTAAGCTCTAGCTGCCATTTTAAGAATAATTCTATTTTGAGCTGGAGCTGTTGGTATTTAACAATAATGAAAACAAGGGAGAGCACAGATTCATTAACAAACCAGGGGAGTTAATGAACAGCTGTAAACAGTGTTTATATTAAAATGAAGCAAAATCCTAGATCTTTAAATAGTTTGAAAAAATAATTTTAGTTTTTACTTTTAATGTTTTCTGTTCATAGATATTTAATAGCTACTATCACTAAACTATCTTTGCATTTAAAATTAAAGTAAAAACTGAATTTCGAAAAAATAATTTAATAAATGAGACAAAATTAAACGAGTAATTTCCCTTTAATTGTATCTAAAGTAAAAGTAGCCAAACTTGTTTTCCTTTCAATTTTAGCATTACAGTTAGATCTACTTTAATAAATTTCATTTTGAAGGATCAGTGTCCGACTAAAAAGCAAACGTTTTAAAATTATTTTTCGTGTAGCTAAGCGAAAAAATAAATAAATTTCATTTTGAAAAAGTACAACATTTTAAAAATGATTTAGATCTTACGTACTAAATGTGATACTATGTGCAAGAGCAAAGAATTTTGTATTGAATGAAGTAACAGAAGGTGTTGAAAGTGAGACAAACATGAATGACAATTGACATGTGACAATAGATCAAATATCACAATAAGTGCAAGTGTGTGCATCACAGTAAAAACATCAACAGATTTCTTCTGCTACCATCGCTAGTACTGGCACTGGGCTAGTACGAATTAGTACTTGACAGTACTAATCATTGTCCAGTAATTCTTCTGGGTCAGCACTAATCCAGGGCCAGCACTAATCCAGGACCAGTACTAATCCAGGGCCAGTACTAATCCAGGACCAGTACTAATCCAGGACCAGTACTAATCCAGGACCAGTACTAATCCAGGACCAGTGCTAATCCAGGGTCAGCACTAATCCAGGACCAGTACTAATCCAGGGCCAGTACTAATCCAGGACCAGTACTAATCCAGGACCAGTACTAATCCAGGGTCAGCACTAATCCAGGACCAGTACTAATCCAGGGCCAGTACTAATCTTAGGCCAGTACTAATCCAGGACCAGTGCTAATCCAGGACCAGCACTAATGCAGGACCAGTACTAATCCAGGACCAGTACTAATCCAGGACCAGTACTAATGCAGGACCAGTACTAATCCAGGACCAGTACTAATCCAGGACCAGTACTAATCCAGGACCAGTACTAATCTTAGGCCAGTACTAATCCAGGACCAGTACTAATCCAGGACCAGTACTAATCCAGGGTCAGCACTAATCCAGGACCAGTACTAATCCAGGACCAGTACTAATCCAGGACCAGTACTAATCCAGGACCAGTACTAATCCAGGACCAGTACTAATCCAGGACCAGTACTAATCCAGGGTCAGCACTAATCCAGGACCAGTACTAATGCAGGACCAGTACTAATCCAGGACCAGTACTATTCCAGGACCAGTACTAATGCAGGACCAGTACTAATCCAGGGCCAGTATTAATCCAACAACAGGTTGTAGCTAAGTACTCATCATCATTGTATAATAGCTAACATTGAATACTTCAGAGAAAACACTACCAAAACTTTCATTGTAAATAAAGAAACCAATTTTAAACACTGATCAATATTGATTTAAGCATGATTAAAAGAATGTAAAATAATTTTTCAGCATTACAAGACCTTTCATTCTTGAAATAAATTTTTGTTGTATTTTACCACGTTTTCTTTAACTTGCTTTCTCTGTGTGTTTATTTATTTATTTATTTGTTTGTCTTTCCAATCCAATCTTGCGATCGAAATTTCTGGCACTTCCCAGTTAGCTAGCGCGCTGAAATTTTCAGGGAAGCTTTCTTTTGGATGACCATTGAATATTCAATTGTTATTATTACTAAATTGATCAATGGAAACATTTTATTGAGCATTTTAGACCGCTATATAATCTATATATATAATTCTCCTCTGCTAGCCATTACAAAAAAAAACCAGCGACGCGTACCTCGCGCGCAGTGAAGCGAACGATCACATGTCGCCGCAGGCTTAGGGGCAGAGAATTTAGCTTGAACCGAGTTTAAACTTACAGGAGGTAGGCCAGTTTGGGGGAGACGATATGGTCGAGTGGTTGGGCACACGATTGCTATCCCACTCGACACGGGTTCAAATCTATGTGTTCTAGTCAGTAACGTATTCAAACAACGTGTTTTTTACGAGTTGTCTTTTTACGAGTTGTCTTTTTACGAGTTGTCTTTTTACGAGTTGTCTTCGTTTACCCAAAAAAAGTGAAAAGATAAAATCGATAGCAAGATTTTAATGCAAACAAACAGACAAAGACTAAAAAGTAGAAAATAATAATCATTAAAAAAGTTTTTAAAAACCCACGTTTTCTGATTGAACTAAAAAGTAGAAAATAAATGCTATAGGCCCTACATCACAATAATGCAAGCGATCACTCTACTATAAGCGAGCAAAAACGTGGGGCGCCGTGATTTTCTTACAGTTTCTAATACTGTTGACTCTCTACAAGCTCCCTAATAAAAGTCAATTGTATTATCTAATCAATAGTAATATAACTTTTACTTCGGCGCCCCACGTTTTTGATCGCTTATAGTAGAGTGATCGCTTGCATTATTGTGATGTAGGGCCTATAGCATTTATTTTCTACTTTTTAGTTCAATCAGAAAACGTGGGTTTTTAAAAACTTTTTTAATGATTATTATTTGTTGTATTTTTGTGGTATTGTTTTAAGAAAAAATTTACAAAATGTGACCAGCATCTTTACATACATAAAAACGACACAGTTATGTCATTACACAATACAATCTTGAATATATATATATATATATATATATATATATATATATATATATATATATATATATATATATATATATATATATATATACATTTCCAATATATTGAAGTATTATTTAAAACAAGAAATAACAGATTATGTAATGATAACGTTTTCATGACAAAAGATATGAATCTAGTTGATGAAAAAGACGAGCGTTTATAAAGTTTCATTGTTTGATGTTTGCTGAGGGTGAGGGTTCACAACCAATATTAGGAGCAAAATTAAATCACATAATCTAAGTTGTGTATTCCAGACTTATAAGGGGCAGTTTGAAAATTTGAGTTTTAAAATATTTTGGCAAGAGCGCTTTTTGTTGGATATCTGTGTTGTTATTATATTTGTTTTTATTTCTTAAATTGTGTAGAAACTTCGTTACATTGTTCATAGTATAAATTATAGACCTTGAAAGAAGATTTAAAATTTCAATTACATCCATATAAAAACAATACAATTTTTATAAAAATGAAGTATGTTTAAATTCAAGAATAAAAATAAAGTATCAAATTTGTTTGAGAAATATTTGTGTCGGACACTGTGGCCTGTAAGGAATGTGATGTAATGAAAGATGTACATCTGAAGAATTTGTTAAAAACGTCTCTTCGGCAATGGCAAGAATAAATTTGGACAATGTTATTTACACGTTGCCATAGCAACACGAAGACGAGTCATGGCAGTTTTGTTGTGGAATTAAATCTTGTGTTGTCATATATTTGCGCACCTCTCTTATGTTGTAATGGTGCGCACCATTTGCAGGAACTGTAAAGGACATGGACGGCACTGCGCCATTTCCGTGCTGTCTCCATCCATGTCAGTCTTTTGGCACCAGCTGGGGTCAGTGATCTTGGCTAGCACCATAGCTGTAGGACCCACAACATTGGTCTGACATAATTTTAGGGAGCCGCCAACTGAGGTACCAACAGTGTAGATCTAGGTGCCCGGAGAACCAGATACTTACACGTCAAGGTACCCACATTTTAAGGTACTCAAAAGTCAAGGTACCCACATGTCAAGGTACCCACATGTCAAAGTACCCACATGTCAAAGTACCCACATGTCAAAGTACCCACATGTCAAGGTACCCACATGTCAAAGTACCCACATGTCAAGGTACCCACATGTCAAAGTACCCACATGTCAAGGTACCCACATGTCAAAGTACCCACATGTCAAGGTACCCACATGTCAAGGTACCCGCATGTTTAAGCAAGCACGTACTAGCCTTGGTACCCACAGTATCGAGGTACTCACAAAAATCAACCGCGCCACACTTGAATGTAGCCACACGTGTAGGTAGCCACACTTGAAGGTAGCCACATGTGTAGGTAGCCACACTTGAAGGTAGCCACACTTGAATGTAGCCACACGTGGAGGTAGCCACACTTGAATGTAGCAACATTTGAAGGTAGCCACACGTGGATCTAGCCACATACCATCCAATGTTTGACCATCAGCTCACGGCACAAGTCCGTGGTTGGCGTGGAAGAGTTCCTCCTCGACCCTCCGCTCAAATGTTTGACCATCGGCTCACGGCACAAGTCCGTGGTTGGCGTGGAAGAGTTCCTCCTGGACCCTCCGGACGGCGCTGCCAGAAACCTTGCCCGGCATGTGACGTGTGAACAGCTCGGCCAGACCCGGCACATCTTCACGGTCAAGGCCATGCGCGAACCTGGACAATGTACAAAGGTTTTAAAACGTGAGCATGGTTTAGTGACTTGATGAACTGTTGGTGGCAAAAGGTATGTCACCCAAATATATCAATTAATGTTGATAAGACAAATTATCTCGAGACAAAATATCTCAAGATGTATGAACGATACATAAAAATATTTGTTACCATTTTGTTGCAGCTAAATTTATAACATGCTGATTGTTTACAAGTTTCCGTAGTGATACAATGTAAACAATATATGTAAATAAATAATTCGACAAGACGCATTTCATACTGAAATGTAGTTAATAAATAGGGTCTGTATAACTTCTACTTTACCCTGCTGTAAAGATACGACCGAAGTTCTTTCTCTAAGTTCTTTCTCTAAGTTCTTTCTTCAAATAAAACGTCTTATTTTAAAATAAAAATAAAAAACAACAACTGACAATGTACACGTAGCAGGTGCACGGAACTAGATAACAAAAGATGAATCAACTCTTAATTACTGGCCTATTACGTTACGCCTTAATGATGGTTGACATATTTCGAGACGTGTAAGTTGAGATATATCGCACGTAGCACTTACCTAGATGTGCCCACGGCACGTGATAATCACCTAAATATACACACGGCACGTGACACCTAGATATACACACTACAGGGGATACTCACCTAGATATACACACGGCACGTGACATCTAGATATACACACGGCACGTGACACCTAGGTATACACACGGCACGTGACACCTAGATATACACACGGCACGTGATACTCACCTAGATATACACACGGCACGTGACACCTAGATATACACACGGCACGTGACACTCACCTAGATATACACACGGCACGTGACACCTAGATATACACACGGCACGTGACACTCACCTATATATAGACACGGCACGTGACACCTAGATATACACACGGCACGTGACACCTAGATATACACACGGCACGTGACACTCACCTAGATATACACACGGCACGTGACACCTAGATATACACACGGTACGTGATACTCACCTAGATATACACACGGCACGTGACACTCACCTAGATATACACACGGCACGTGACACCTAGATATACACACGGTACGTGACACTCACCTAGATATACACACGGCACGTGACACTCACCTAGATATACACACGGCACGTGATACTCACCTAGATATACACACGGCACGTGACACCTAGATATACACACGACACGTGACATCTAGATATACACACGGCACGTGACACTCACCTAGATATACACACGGCACGTGATACTCACCTAGATATACACAAGGCACGTGACACCTAGATATACACACGGCACGTGACACTCACCTAGATATACACACGGCACGTGATACTCACCTAGATATACACACGGCACGTGACACCTAGATATACACACGGCACGTGACACTCACCTAGATATACACACGGCACGTGATACTCACCTAGATATACACACGGCACGTGACACCTAGATATACACACGGCACGTGACACTCACCTAGATATACACACGGCACGTGACACCTAGATATACACACGGCACGTGACACTCACCTAGATATACACACGGCACGTGACACCTAGATATACCCACGGTACGTGACATCTAGATATACACACGGCACGTGACACCTAGATATACACACGGCACGTGACACTCACCTAGATATACACACGGCACGTGACATCTAGATATACACACGGCACGTGACACCTAGATATACACACGGCACGTGATACTCACCTAGATATATACACGGCACGTGATACCTAGATATACACACGGCACGTGACACCTAGATATACACACGGCACGTGACACTCACCTAGATATACACACGGCACGTGACACTCACCTAGATATACACACGGCACGTGATACTCACCTAGATATACACACGGCACGTGACACCTAGATATACACACGACACGTGACATCTAGATATACACACGGCACGTGACACTCACCTAGATATACACACGGCACGTGATACTCACCTAGATATACACACGGCACGTGACACCTAGATATACACACGTCACGTGATACTCACCTAGATATACACACGGCACGTGACACCTAGATATACACACGGCACGTGACACTCACCTAGATATACACACGGCACGTGATACTCACCTAGATATACACACGGCACGTGACACCTAGATATACACACGACACGTGACACCTAGATATACACACGGCACGTGACACTCACCTAGATATACACACGGCACGTGATACTCACCTAGATATACACACGGCACGTGACACTCACCTAGATATACACACGGCACGTGACACCTAGATATACACACGGCACGTGATACTCACCTAGATATACACTCCTCCGTAAACTGACACAGACACAGCAACCTTGAGACGTGACGTTGCTGTGGGGGGTGGGGCAGAACCTGTCGCACCAGTTTGACCAGGTAGGGGGCACTCATCATGACGGTCAGACGTTCAGAGATGGACATCTGTGGAACACAAGGTTAGTTCTGTCAGGCAAGTCAAGAAACACAACCCGTTGTAAAAACTCAACAAATAACACTCGTACATCAACCCGTAACACTCGTACATCAACCCGTAACACTCGTATATCAGCCCTTAACACTCGTACATCAACCCGTAACACTCGTACATCAACCCGTAACACTCGTATATCAACCCGTAACACTCGTATATCAACCCGTAACACTCGTACATCAACCCGTAACACTCGTACATCAGCCCGTAACACTCGTACATCAGCCGTAACACTCGTACATCAACCGTAACACTCGTACATCAACCCATACTGTATTCATATGTCCAAACTGATCAACACTATGTACCTTAGCATACCCATGATAACACGTGTTAAATATACATTCTGTAACAATGTTAAGTTAAAGAAACCAATTTTAAAACAGAATGGCATTCAACATTTAAATTTATCTGGCACTCATGTGTTTAAAAAAGTGCGTAACTTCGGCATCATTTTTAGCGCAATTTCCAAAGTGTAGAATTGCGATTATTAACTCGTCATTTCTGGATGGATGTAATTTAATTTATAACAAGCATTACGATGTCATTACGACTGACACAACCTTGACCCGGAGACCCACCCACCCGTGGCCCTGAGATTCACCTAACCTTAACCGTAAGACTCACCCTACCTTGACATTAAGGCTCACCTAACCTTGACCTTAAGTATCACCTAACCTTGACCCTGAGACTCACCCTGCTGAGGTAGTGTTCGTCCCTCGTGTAGAAGGTGATGAGTTTGATCAGCTTTTCCCAGTCGTCCTCCATACACGCGAACAGCAGCAGGTCCACGCTTCTCTGGAATAGACAGGGTTCATTAGTGGGGTTCATTAGAGGGGTTCATTAAAGGGTTCATTAGAGGGTTCATTAGAGGGTTCATTAGAGGGGTTCATTAGAGGGGTTCATTAGATGGTTCATTAGAGGGTTCATTAGAGGGGTTCATTAGAGGGTTCATTAGAGGTGTTTATTAAAGGGGTTCAAAAGTAGGCAAAGCAGGAGGTCCACGCTTCTCTGGAATAGACAGGCTTCATTAGAGGGGTTCATTAGAGGGGTTCATTAGAGGGTCATTCGAGGGGTTCATTAGAGGGGTTCATTAGAGGGGTTCATTAGAGGGGTTCATTAGAGGGGTTCATTAAAGGGTCAATGTGTGGGGTACAGCTGTTTCTCGGGACAAAAGGGGTCACAGAGTTCTTTCACGAGACAAGCCGCGAATTGAACGAGATTTAAATAATACTTGGAGCACTCCAATACGCGTGCAGATATTTTTTTTTGCAGATTGATCTACAGACAAAAAGCAACCCCCCCCCCCCCCCCCCCACCTACATCACTGTAATAGCCTGCTCTTTATGTAAGGCAAATTTCTCGAATAATCATGTCGCAAAATTGGCTCCAAAAAATTTAAATTTAAACTCTCGTAACTTTTCTTTTAAGGATTTTCTGGATGATCCCAAACTGCTTCTTTTGGCAGCGAGAATGTCCAGAAATCCCAGCGAGGCTGCGGCTTGGATATGTTATCCAGGATTGGCATTTCCGGTTAGGGTCGAGGATAACACAAGGGTACAATCTGGCTAGCGAGGGTACAGTTTGGCTAGCGAGAGTACAGTTTGGCTAGCGAGGGTACAACCTGGTTAGCGGGAGTACAGTTTGGCTAGCGAGGGTACAATCTGGCTACCGAGGGTACAATCTGGTTAGCGAGAGTACAGTTTGGCTAGCGAGGGTACAATCTGGCTAGCGAGGGTACAGTTTGGCTAGCGAGAGTACAGTTTGGCTAGCGAGGGTACAATCGGGCGAGCGAGAGTACAGTTTAGCTAGCGAGGGTACAATCTGGCTACCGAGGGTACAATCTGGTTAGCGAGAGTACAGTTTGGCTAGCGAGGGTACAATCTGGTAAGCGAGAGTACAGTTTGGCTAGCGAGGGCACAATCTGGTTAGCGAGGGTACAATCTGGTTAGCGAGAGTACAGTTTGGCTAGAGACGGTACAATCGGGCTAGCGTCGGAAAGATCAAAATGTCATTTAAAAGTAGATTAGCTGTAGAGAGCCGCACGTCTGGAGCACCTCGGTCCATGAATACAAAACACGAGTCAATTTCTTATTTACATTTTCCCCCATCTTTCTTGCTCTTTTCTTTTTCCATGAGATTTCCTAAAGCAATTTGGTCTAGTAAAAATGTCGGTTTGGTTCCAAATATGGACACGGTAAAAAAGAGCAGAACAGTACCTTATTCGTTTTTTTTGCCTAAGAAAATATCAAACTTCGACCCTCAAACCACAGACCTTCCAGAACTTTCTCCTCACCCCCCCCCCCCCACCCCGGTCAATAACATTTCCTCTCCTAGTTGTCCTGGGCTAAACTTTTGTCTCGCTTCACCCGACACCCATAAACAGTTATTGTCTCCCATGTATGAACTCCCCCCCCCTCCCCATATTTATTCCGACGAATGACGTCATGGATAACTTACCACACAATCCGTAGCGTCAAAGTAGACAAAATAAATCTGGTATAGGTTAAGGTTAACTAATTAAACAAATTATGCTAAACAGGTTAGGTTAAGGTTAACTTTTGAAACAAATTATGCTTAAAATAATTGTGTATGATCAATACTTAAAGTGTATTCCAGCGCAACTAATATAACCAATACTTTATAAATTATTTTGTTCAACTGCTTAATATACATGTGTGCACCTCGTTTGTGTGTGTGTGTGTGTGTGTGTGTGTGTGCGTGTGTGTGTTTGTGTGTGTGTGTGTGCGTGTGTGTGTGTGTGGAAACATTTTATTTTAATTAGCACGATGTTTATTTCTTGGCTATCTTTGTTTGATGTTTCCATGTTGGTATTTTCGTGTCTGTGTTTCTGTGTGTGCGTGTGTGTGTCTGTGTGTGTGTGTGAACCTGTGTGTGTGTGTTTGTGTATGTGTGTGTGTGCCTGTGTGATACAGCCCACATAAAGGATACAGCGAAGATGTTGGCCCTGACGTGAGCCGCTGTGTGTGTGTGTCTGTGTGTGTGTGTGTGTGTGTGCCTGTGTGATACAGCCCACATAAAGGATACAGCGAAGATGTTGGCCCTGACGTGAGCCGCTGTAACAAAGAGTGGCCGCCCCTGGAAGTAGAGAGCCTGGTTGACGTCCACACAGTTCTGGACCAGGAGTCGAACAATCTGAAACAGATGGGAGTCAGTGGTTCACTGGTGGAGTCAGTGGTTCACTTGTGTGTGGGAGTCAGTGGTGTGTGGGAGTCAGTGGTTCACTTGTGTGTGGGAGTCAGTGGTTGATCATTTGTCTCTGTTTTCTTTATGAGTCAGTCATTGCATCCTAGTGTACCCACGTTACACGACTGGCCAAAACAAACATCACAGTCACATGATCAGGTCTTACCTTAGTCAGCCAATAGGCACGTCGCCACTTGATCAGGTAGCCAGTGGCTACCAGCCCCAGGGGGAAGAGAAACACGGCTAGCCTGACTGGTAGGGCAACTGTGGGAGAGATGAAGGTTAAATCATGTAGCAAGTGGCTACCCTTGTTACGGTGGCTACCCGTGTATTTGTGGCTACCTTAGCCATTGTGGCTACCCGTATATTTGTGACTACAATGGCCATGACTACTACAATAGTTCCCTTAATGGCAAATCTATTCAATTTGGCTACCCAAGTCAGTATTTACCACTACGCTGTATTTGAGCTACACGGTGTAGCCCGTGGCTACATTTTGTAGCCCACCATAGTCTCCACAACAGACTCCTTCACTACCTTAAGTGCAAGTTATTTTTACGCGAGCGCGCAATCATTCAAAGATCAATTTCTTTCAATTCATTGCTCCCGTTTTAGTTTTTTAATTTCCCTTTCCGTGAAGTCGAACTAAATATTCCCGTTTAAAATAGACAACACAGCACCCGGGGACAAAATTAAAAGCCGAACTAAAATTGATGAATTCTCTCCAGCCTGTGTCAACAACTTGTCCTCCAATTGTGGCCAATCGATGGAGGGGAGACAACTCTCTGATAGGGGCAACAACTCGCCGCGTCAATGGAGCTCATGTGGGTGGTCTGCTCATGTCTCGCACACAACTCGATTCGCGCATTTCTAACCGGAAGTGACGATATTCGGAGCAGAAGCAAAGCCTGGCGGGAAATAGAGAACTGCACGGGTTATCTGTTGCGTACACGACAGCAGAAGTTGAAGTGTTTCGAAAAATCGTAATTCTGAAACCGTGCAAATTTTGCGAATCTGACTTGATCTATTCCGGAACCGTGCAGGATTTGAGAATCAGATTTAGAGCTTTGTAAACAAAATGATTTTTTCCCGATGAAGTGGCGAAAACAATTTCCTTGAATGCTGTGAGTGACAAGCGATTTCGTCCGCACTAAGAGTAGATGGGTTCGGCAGCAGGGGGGGGGGGGGGGGGGGGGCTGGAGCACTCTTAAAGCAGACGTCACGTCAGAAAAACATGTTCGCTGGATTGAAATGGGGCAATTAAAGAACGTAAAAAATTGATTAAAATCAAGGCATATAATGGGATTGTTTTTTTCATTAACTTCAAAATCGGTTTCATTAATTAAAATAAAAATAACAAAATAGCGGATGAAGACTCTCCAAACTGACAGTGTAACACCTCGTACTTTACAACATTACAACCCAACAACACAAAATTAATATACAACATCGAGAAATTGAACCAACATTACAAAATCCAAGAGCCATAAGCCCAGAATCATAATCCGAAAATCCAAAATCATAAGCCAATAAGTATAAGCCCAAAGTTCTGTACAAAATCATAAGCCCTTATCCCTCAGCCCAAAATGTCGAGCCCAAAACCATAAGCCTAAAGCCCTAAGCACCAGAATAAAAAGTCCAAAGCCATAGGCTATAAGCCCAGTCATAAGCCCAAACCCATAAGCCCAGTGCGATGAGCCCTAATCCCAAAGTCCACATCCGGATTGGTGTAGGCTATAATCCCTGAGAGACTCAGTTCACGCGATATAAGGATAGGGATTACATGCCGGGATAACACAGATATCACGTGCAGAGATGACGTAATGTGGTTTCTAGCGCACATATCGTGAGTGCAACTGCAGTGAGCATGCACGCGCGCCCGGGAAGTTCGCGTCGACGCCATTTATTTGTGATTGCTTTGGATTATTTGACCTCACGAGTTCAGTGGGTCAAAGGTCATTGAATAAATCCCCAACCCCAGACACCAGAACAACCTAACGAAGAGACAATTTGGCAACTCCGTGATTTTTTTCGTTTGACTTACCGACACGAAAATTATCTGGCATAAAATGAAGACCCGGCTAATGGCTGATTTATGACGCATCAATCAAACCTAAGTGAGCCTAAGATTACATTTTTTTTTCTCGGGTTTTTAAGTTGGGACGATAAAATACGGCAGTTCTTGTACTATCATATTGCTGGGTACTGAGCTCAAGCTGATCAAAATGATTAGGATATCCGGTATTTATTGTAATCACACATTTACATTGATTTAGCCATATCGATTTCTATGCAATCGTGGAAATCTAGAGACCAATGTGTGACTTAACGAAACTACCAGCAAGACATCTAGAATAATAAGACTTTTAGAAGAAAAAATACTTCAGACAGAACAAAACATCCGTCCGACAAACACAGCGAGCACTTAAGACCTTTAAGACCAAGACTTTCAAGACATGCGTTATTTGTTTCAGATGCACTAGCTTGCTGTTTTCATTACCTCTGTTGTTTTCAATGCCTCTGTTGTTTTCATTACCTCGTTGTTTTCAATGCCTCTGTTGTTTTCATTACCTCTGTTGTTTACATTAGCTTGTTGTTTCATTATCTCTGTTGTTCACATTACCTCTGTTGTTTACATTATCTCTGTTGTTTACATAAGCTCGCTTAATGTTTTTCGCTGTCAGAAAAGAGTGTTCAAATCATATTTCTCTGACAATATTCCCAGCCTAATGTAGTCGGCATCTGTTGTTGTTTGTATTAAAGTTCCCTCTCTACCTGTGCTCTACATGACAATTTGAAGCAATTATGTTATTAATAGCAATTTTTCAGTTATTTTGTGTTCGAAATAAACATTCACCATAATTGATGGCATCTGCATAGGACAACAAACAAAATAATTGCACGCTGGGTTTGTACTCTAGCGGCTAAGCTAGTGGACTTGATAGGCGTGTAGGCTTCAGGTGTCTGAGTGGACAGGATGGGCGTGTAGGCTTCAGGTGTCTGAGTGGACAGTATGGGCGTGTAGGCTTCAAGTGTCCGGGTGTCTGAGTGGACAGGATGTGCGTGTAGGCTTCAGGTGTCTGAGTGGACAGTATGGGCGTGTAGGCTTCAAGTGTCCGGGTGTCTGAGTGGACAGGATGGGCGTGTAGGCTTCAGGTGTCTGAGTGGACAGTATGGGCGTGTAGGCTTCAAGTGTCCGGGTGTCTGAGTGGACAGGATGTGCGTGTAGGCTTCAGGTGTCCGAGTGGACAGGATGGGCGTGTAGGCTTCAAGTGTCCGAGTGGACAGGATGGGCGTGTAGGCTTCAGGTGTCCGAGTGGACAGGATGGGCGTGTAGGCTTCAGGTGTCTGAGTGGACAGTATGGGCGTGTAGGCTTCAGGTGTCCGAGTGTCCGAGTTTACAGGATGGGCGTGTAGGCTTCAGGTGTCTGAGTGGACAGGATGGGCGTGTAGGCTTCAGGTGTCTGAGTGGACAGGATGGGCGTGTAGGCTGCAGGTGTCCGAGTGGACAGGATGGGCGTGTAGGCTTCAGGTGTCCGAGTGGACAGGATGGGCGTGTAGGCTTCAGGTGTCCGAGTGGACAGGATGGGCGCGTAGGCTTCAGGTGTCCGAGTGGACAGGATGGGCGTGTAGGCTTCAGGTGTCCGAGTGGACAGGATGGGCGTGTAGGCTTCAGGTGTCCGAGTGGACAGGATGGGCGTGTAGGCTTCAGGTGTCCGAGTGGACAGGATGGGCGTGTAGGCTTCAGGTGTCTGAGTGGACAGGATGGGCGTGTAGGCTTCAGGTGTCCGAGTTTACAGGATGGGCGTGTAGGCTTCAGGTGTCTGAGTGGACAGGATGGGCGTGTAGGCTTCAGGTGTCCGAGTGGACAGGATGGGCGTGTAGGCTTCAGGTGTCCGAGTGGACAGGATGGGCGTGTAGGCTTCAGGTGTCCGAGTGGACAGGATGGGCGTGTAGGCTTCAGGTGTCTGAGTGGACAGGATGGGCGTGTAGGCTTCAGGTGTCCGAGTGGACAGGATGTGCGTGTAGGCTTCAGGTGTCTGAGTGGACAGTATGGGCGTGTAGGCTTCAAGTGTCCGGGTGTCTGAGTGGACAGGATGTGCGTGTAGGCTTCAGGTGTCCGAGTGGACAGGATGGGCGTGTAGGCTTCAAGTGTCCGAGTGGACAGGATGGGCGTGTAGGCTTCAGGTGTCCGAGTGGACAGGATGGGCGTGTAGGCTTCAGGTGTCTGAGTGGACAGTATGGGCGTGTAGGCTTCAGGTGTCCGAGTGTCCGAGTTTACAGGATGGGCGTGTAGGCTTCAGGTGTCTGAGTGGACAGGATGGGCGTGTAGGCTTCAGGTGTCTGAGTGGACAGGATGGGCGTGTAGGCTGCAGGTGTCCGAGTGGACAGGATGGGCGTGTAGGCTTCAGGTGTCCGAGTGGACAGGATGGGCGTGTAGGCTTCAGGTGTCCGAGTGGACAGGATGGGCGCGTAGGCTTCAGGTGTCCGAGTGGACAGGATGGGCGTGTAGGCTTCAGGTGTCCGAGTGGACAGGATGGGCGTGTAGGCTTCAGGTGTCCGAGTGGACAGGATGGGCGTGTAGGCTTCAGGTGTCCGAGTGGACAGGATGGGCGTGTAGGCTTCAGGTGTCTGAGTGGACAGGATGGGCGTGTAGGCTTCAGGTGTCCGAGTTTACAGGATGGGCGTGTAGGCTTCAGGTGTCTGAGTGGACAGGATGGGCGTGTACTCTAGCGACTAGGTTAAAGTGTGTTGGTGTACTAGCTAACCAAGGCACAGGATCGATAACTCCGTCTTGATTACATCAAATTATAGTCAAGTATGAATAATGGCCCTTGGTGCTAGACGGTTTGACTGGAGCCACTACACTGTCTACGTGACTAAAGGTTCAGACAATTTTATTAACTGTGGGTCAGGGGAGAGGAGGGTGGGTCAGCGGAGAGGAGGGGTGGGTCGGGGGGTAGGAGGGTGGGTCAGGGGGTAGGAGGGTGGGACGGGCTAAGAATGGGTGGGGCTAGGAACGTGGGCGTCTGTGTGTTTAAATACCATGCTGGTGAGTGTCATGTTCCAGACGACTACTGGAGCCTGGTCTGGAGTTTCTTGATGAACTCAGGTTCGTGGGTCTGGCATTGGCGACTGGGTTTTTTTTTCTTAAGGGAGAGGAACTGTCAATAGTTTCCTGTGGGGAGGGGTGGGGCGGGATGGGGTTGAAGCTGAGTACAGTAACATTGACAAGTACACATTCAATTAGTTTCAGCACTCAC